TTACATTATGGTTGGTTTTTATTACATTTATAGTGGGTATTACATGGGTCAGATACATAGGTTTGCGTACGGGGAAAGTAATTAACAATTATAATTTATTTTTAAAGTTACTGAGCTTGTTGTTGTTTTTATATTAGTTTCTGACATTTAAAGAACGTTTATTAGCTCCAATAGCTCCAAGCCAACTCCTGATTTGAAAGGAGTAAAACGCACACAATTGGCCTTAACGAAGCCAGGCGCAAACGGATTTACCATGAACACGATGTTACTTCTCGGAAGTGACTTAGAAATTTTCAATGACTTTGGAATTTCACTAAAATGCTCAGCAATGAAAATTTCGCAAAGAACCGATTCTTAAAAACGTTTTTGGAATAATTTCCAAAGTGCGGTTTCAAAGCCAAAGATGACACCTGTTTGCGCTTAAACGAGCAAATTAGACTTATGAGTAAGAATAGCAAAATATTAGCGTGATCGCAAAGGGCGACGGCTTGCCAATTTTTACTATTAAAAGGACTAACTGAACCACATCTTAAGCCAGGAATATAAATTTGGATTGTATAAACAGCGCAGTAAATCATTTTTGATGATTAAAAAACAAAAAGTGAAAAAGACACTTTTTGCGATCCTAAATTTTTAGAACATTATCTTTCAAAAACCGCCCTCATAGATTTTTTCAAATTTTGCCAAGGTAAAGACATCGTTCTAAGCTATTAGCACACTAGAGGATTTTACAGCTTAAGCTTATTGCTAGATTTCGCCAGAGAAAATTTTTAGATTCCAATTCATCGTTATTCTGTTGCTACGGAAGCGGCGATGTCAACAAACCAAAGTTTCACTTTGTGGCTTTTCCGTACATACACTATCAGCTACAGCGAAAGTTATAGAGCATCAAAGACGCAAAGGTTAAACCCTGAAAAATTTGTGCAAGCCTGCTGAAGGTGTATTAAAAAGGTTTCGACAATTTATAATCCCACATGATTCAATTTATTTAGCTTTTTGCCTTTTTGCCTTTTTGTTACTGCCAAGCAATCTAATTATTATGTGACCCTTATAAGCTGCTTTGCAAAGGAAAACGGGCGACCACTCCCCGAGTTTCTGACATAATTATTGGTTGTTCACAAGAGCCTCTTGTTGCTGACTATTTACAAAACATTTCCGGAAAATCCGTTTGGAAAGTAAACCAAACACGACTTGGATCGTTTCACCGGCATATTTTTAGGAGCAACGGAACATCTAAAAAGATAGTCCTGTTCTTCCGGACGGAATTTTCCAAAAAATTCGCGCCTGAAATCCGTGTTCTATTTCTTCACTTTTCGGCCACTTTTCGGTAAACGCGCCAGTCCGGGAAGAATTTACTTGTCCTGAAGTTTGCCTATACCATTTGTCCAAACCGTGAACCGAGCGGTTTGCCCAAGGCATGTATTTCCAGTGGTAAACAACCACTGTCACCTTTTTTGAACTTATCCCACAATCGTATCTAATCATCTTAATATCTTCTCTTAAATACGCGAAACAACAGTTATGCATGGTGGCTGTACACAAACCATTACTGTCTCATAGCGTTCGTGGTTTTTCTATAAAAGCATCGAAACTTTGGTTTCAAGTTTGCTCAAGTGTTCATCCATTTGCCTAAAAAGTATCCTTGCGGCCTCCACATCACGGCAAATAGTTTCTTTTCCTGACGACAAAGCAAACGCTCCGTTTATACGTCCCACTGAAAATGAAAAATATGCATGATATTACTTGTCATGAAATGAGAATAGCATTGCGTATTGCGCTAAACTTCGTGAAGTAATGCCAGGCGAATCACCCCATATTTGGCCATTTAGCTTTGTTTGTTTAAGAACAGATATGTTTCTTAGTAAAAACTGTGCCATAAAAGTGCTTCAGGGTGGCAAATATGTAGGATCTAACACTCTGCGCGCAAAAAATAGCTTAAAGTAGTACATATATATGTTCATCACGTGCTCGAATTAAAGCATGGAGAATGGTTTGCCGTAATTAAAGTCTTTGTGGCCATTCTCATAGATGGCACACGGCTCTCGGCAGCACCATGTCTCTTCATCATAAATTAATACAAATTATTTATTCAAAATATTTCCCGTTTCGAATTGGCTTAGGTTCCCCAGCCCATTCATAACAAACACGCGTTGACCAAATTTGAGCGACTCCTGCGATCGACAGAAAAGGCACGATAACGGAGAAGCCCTGGGCCGAGGGTGTTAGCTCCACTAGAGTTGGAAAAAAGGGAGGGAAATTTCAAACATTTTGTCCAGAAGAAAATGCGAAAAACTGCTGCCTTTCGACATGGCAGAAAAGGCAAAAATATAAATGGATGGGTGGCAACTGCTATTCGAAGATCTGTTAGACTAAACATCGCTTTGCATCTTAAATTTGGCGAGAAACAGGCAAAATGATCGATCGGGGTATAAAATACTTTGAATGAATTATAAAACGTTTATAATTGTATACGGCTTTCAGCTTATAATACCCTCATCGATCTGCCTAATTCTTCATATCATACTGGTCTCCTGACTCACATTCACTCCACAGCTGCATAGCATCCTCTTCCCACTAGTGCATTTCTCAGGAATCAATAATATATTTGGCAAAAATATTTTAGACCTCACTTTTCACATACAGTTGCTGTATTTACAAATTCGCAGTATCTTTTCAAACTTACCTTCTGAGGTATCCTTATCTTTTTTAGGTTTTCTTCTGATAAAAAAATCCCATATTGTCCCAATAAGAAGCAAACCACTCAGTGCTCCAAGTGATATATACAAAAGTTGTGTCACAAAGGTAGAGGAATTGTCGAAGAGGCTAACTTGTTTGGAAGTCTCTTGTTTCTTTAGCTAAATGGAGAAATTGAAACATTTCTACTGATCATATTGATGAAAAAATAGTTAGTGATGATGATTGTTACCCATCAAGTTCCACGATTTTATATATATTTACTACCGGACAGGCCACGAGATAATCACGCTTTGGAAACAAATTTGATTAAGTCCCTACTCAGATATAAAACTCGTAAGATATAATGATTTTATTATTTGCTTCCCCAAATCGTCTTTTTTATGGATAAATTTGAGTGTGAGTGTGGAACGTTATCCCTAATGGGTTTTGAATTCATGGAAAAGTAACCTTTCATCCCAAGGGTTCTCTCAGTAAGTAAAGCTCCGAGGAGTCAAAGAGGTTAAAATGGAGATGTGAACTAGTGAGGTAAACACCCGGAGGGGATTCCCATATAAAAGTGACGGGGATGCTCGTTGGAAAATTGAAATTAAACCC